TGTTTCTATCCCCGATTTCACCCATTAACTCTAACAAATCTTGAGTATAATAAATGCAAAACAACAAAATCATATGCTACATGTTGTTGTTGTATTCAGTCATAACTTTCGTATTTTTTTAACGTTTTCAGAATTTTTTTTATATTTCTTAAATTATTTTTTTTTTAAGGTAATCAAAAAAATATTTTCAATTTGCCTCACAAAAGTATTTACCACAATATTTATGTTCTAATTAAATAATTTAATTACGCGTAAAATTATATCATAAAAAATTAGTTATAGTAATCTTAAGCAAAGTAATAAAAATAAATATCACAAACTCTTTTTTGTCAGATACATATGTGCAATCTACATACATACATATGAACATTGAATGTATGTACATGTGAAAAGTCAATTCATGTAAACTAAACTAAATAGAAAACTCAGTAAAGAAGAAGGTAGTTTTTACTCATGAGAAAATATATATATTTTTTTTATAAGAAGGTCTTTTATCGAACAAAATAAGCGAAACTGTTTGAGATTTTTATACATATGTACACCCTCTAAACAGTGTTACGATATTGAAATAGGATTGTTAAAAAAATCCCTTATTTTTACCAACATTATATTTTATATGAACTTATTATAATCCAAATACCAATCTATCCCCATACATATCTATCTCTTAACATTTTCAAAAAAATATTCTTTGTTGATCAGTAACACTGTGTCACTTAAAATGTACATATGTATAGAAGCTTTTGACTATTACTCTTACATATACATTATAAATAATGACATTTAATGTCCTTCCAATTCACAGAATGGCAATAATTTTTGTGCACACACTTAAACAAAAAACTATTCAAAAAAGTAGTTTTAAGCACAAATATGAACAGAAAATTGGTGAGGGTTAATATTAGTCTATAGTCTAATCTTTAGTCTAGCCTATAGTCTAGTCTATAGTCTAGTCTACAGTCTAGTCTATAGTCTAGTCTATAGTCTAGTCTATAGTCTAGTCTATAGTCTAGTCTATAGTCTAGTCTATAGTTAAGTCTCTAGTCTAGTCTATAGTCTAGTCTATAGTCTAGTCTATAGACTAGTCTATAGTCTAGTCTATAGTCTAGTCTATAGTCTAGTCTATAGTCTAGTCTATAGTCTAGTCTATCGTCTAGTCTATAGTCTGTAGTCTATAGTCTAGTCTATAGTCTAGTCTATAGTCTAGTCTATAGTCTAGTCTATAGTCTAGTCTATAGTCTAGTCTATAGTCTAGTCTATAGTCTAGTCTATAGTCTAGTCTATAGTCTAGTCTATAGTCTAGTCTATAGTCTAGTCTATAGTCTAGTCTATAGTCTAGTCATTAGTCTAGTCTATAGTCTAGTCTATAGTCTAGTCTATAGTCTAGTCTATAGTCTAGTCTATAGTCTAGTCTATAGTCTAGTCTAGTCTAGGTCTAGTCTATAGTCTAGTCTATAGTCTAGTCTATAGTCTAGTCTATAGTCTAGTCTATAGTCTAGTCTATAGTCTAGTCTATAGTCTAGTCTATAGTAGTCATAGTCTAGTCTATAGTCTAGTCTATAGTCTAGTCTATAGTCTAGTCTATAGTCTAGTCTATAGTCTAGTCTATAGTCTAGTCTATAGTCTAGTCTATAGTCTAGTCTATAGTCTAGTCTATAGTCTAGTCTATTAGTCTAGTCTATAGTCTAGTCTATAGTCTAGTCTATAGTCTAGTCTATAGTCTAGTCTATAGTCTAGTCTATAGTCTAGTCTATAGTCTAGTCTATAGTCTAGTCTATAGTCTAGTCTATAGTCTAGTCTATAGTTCTAGTCTATAGTCTAGTCTACAGTCTAGTCTATAGTCTAGTCTACAGTCTAGTCTATAGTCTAGTCTAGTCTGTAGTCTAGTCTAGTCTATAGTCTTTTATGTAAGAATGAAACATTTTTTAACTGTATATTCAGATATTGAAGTACGTACATATATGTACATTATATATTAGAGTGTTATAAATATGTCTATATGTTTATAAATTTTTATGAACATTCATATATAGACTTGTAAGTATACATGTCCTCTATACTTGCATTATAGACTTCATCTTCTTTTATATTGCCTTTTGTATTTTGGTGTAAGAAAAAATATTAAATAAAAGGATAATGTAATCTTTCTGGATCATAAAGTGAACTTTTATTTATATGGACGCAAGACAAAAACGAAAAGAAAAAAAAAACGTCAACCAAAAGAAGAATAAAGCCCATTGACAATATGCCAGGCAGGCAGCAGTAGCCTGAGTATGTGCGTAAATTATACAGAACGAAAAGAAAAACCAATCTGCTGCACAGAGAACGACTATAGGGAACACTGTATGGTTGACAATTTATTAGTCAGTCAGACTAAATTGAGTATTTTCTGGGTAAACTGCGCATATTTTTATACTTAAAGTCAACTAATGATGGTTGTGCTATTTTTCCACTATTAAGCAGTTTAATATATTTAACTAATCCTAGCAATTGTTTAGATTGAAAAGACCAGCTAAACATAGTAAGCTTAAAGTATGAAGTATAAACAAAGAGCAAGGATATTTTTACGCTAGACAGGACAATAAAGAAACTTTATGATGAAAGTAAAACTTAGCTGAATATCACATAAGATACCTTGAAACAAAAGGATCCTCTACCATGAAATATAATTTCAATTCTTCCTTTTGCAACACCCTGTATACCAAAGAAAAATTTATAACCATATAAACTCACTTACACAGATAACCAAGTAAGTCTGTTTGTATTATATTTTTGGCCATAATATATGAATGCATTCCTAAGAATAATGTTAAGGCGTAACATACTAAATTTAAGATTGGTCTTATGGTAAGTCATAAAAATGTTATTACACTTGAAGAATATTGTATATAACAACAACAACAAAAATAAAGCAAGATGAAGCAGCAGAAGTGGAGAAAAACAACAAACCATGAAGAGCAAAAAATCAAAAAAGAAACAACAACAGCAAAAAGAGTCTACCAATTATATACACTTTAAGCTGTAAAGGAAAGTACATTCTTCCTCATTCATGTCCGCAGGACTGGAAAACATGAATTGGTTTTTAAGACTAATAGAGAAAATGTCAATTGTACAATAAAGCACGTATGAAGTGTAACAACAATGTAAAGCTAAATGGGTTATGGGACACATTTTCTTTATTTCGATTTTTTTTCTATCCTTGTTTCATTTTAGAAAATAATATTGTTTAAACTCAATAGCTACAGAGTGGAACGGAATATTGGTAACAACAAGTAGGAACAAAAAAATCATTATTAGCAAAGTTGAAGTTATGGTTTTATTATTGTATCAATCTGAAATGGAAAGGTACCACAAAGTATCAACAGTACAAAATATTATCCTTTTTATATCCACCATCAAAAAAGATGGGGATATATTGTATTTGTCATTCCATTTATAACACATCGAAATATTGGTCGTAGACCAATAAAAGTAAAGTCCTCATTAGAATCTAAGACGATCTTGCCATGTCCGCCCGTTTGTCAGTATGTCTGTCTTTCTGTCTGTCTTTTTGTCTGTCTGTCTATCAGTCTGTCTGTCTGTGTGTCTGTCTGTCTGACTATAAGTCTGTCTGTCTGTCCTTCTGTCTATCTTTATGTCAGTCCGTCTGTCTATCTTTATGTCTGTCCGTCTGTCTATCTTTATGTCTGTCCCTCTGTTGAAAACAAGTCCAATTCGGAAAATTAAAAAAATGCCAGTCTGCAAGAATGCTTCACGTGTTGGCCTTATTTCCCAGTGGTAATTTTACAACCATAGGGTGAGGTTATTAGACGACTTTGTTTGGCAATCGTTTGTGCATGATTCTGCCAGTCCATGTACAAGCACTTTGCTCAAATACTCGAGCTGTCTAATCTCTGACAGTTGCGTTGCTTAACTTCCGAGATGCAAAAACATCACTTCCGCTTACAACTGCGCAGCTGGGATGACTTCTGTTGATTCGTCAACAGCACTTAGAGACGTATTCGGAATCCACTATGTTAAATCTGGTATGAACAGAATAAACCCTGAACATACCGCGACATGGAAGGAAAATTTAACGGTATCACTTGTATTAGATACCTTACATTCAACCCAGCACACTTCTCATTCATCCGACATACTCACTCTAGGTATACGGGTGGGTAAGGCCTGCATACATACCTCTACATCTGTCCCGTATCATATACACTTGACACTAACTCATTTTTAAAGCTTAGTCATTCATCTGTGGGGTATCTGTTGTCTCGGAAACAGCACCGAAGTCCTCTCTTCGCGCGAATTTGGGTTTAAATCCAATCCAATAACCGCGACTCCGGAACTCTGTCCTGTGGGTTACGGTTGTACCATATTATGTGACACTCTGGTTCGATCTTATGTCAAATCATTCCAAAGAAATGCCGTGGATACATTTAATCATCACCAGTTTATAGTCTGGGCAGTCAATTGGTAGCACCTCTTTTCCCCGGATTGGAATAACACCGAGATGAGGCATTATCATCAAGGTAACATACCCCGGGTGGATGGCAGTCTACAGATGAAATTTAACATAAACAAGTTTCAAGAAATCTCTCTACCAAATTGTATTACGATCGAACCATAATTTACCCTACGCCCCATGTAAGGTCCTCTTCAGGAAATGATTTTAATCCATAGTTTACCCTATCCTCCATATAAACCCTTTTACAAAAAATCAGTTTATACTAAATAATTCATTCCAATATTTAGGATTTAACCATATCTCTTATTCCGAAACGTTAATACTAATCTAATGATAAAAGTTCATATATCTAAAGGGCAACCTTCTGAAATTGACTTCAACTTTATGATGGTGGGTATATAAGATTAGATATAGCTCGATTCTAGTGGAACGGGGTTTCATGGCAACCGGTTCTAGTCTAAGTTTAGCTATTTCCTTTCTTTTTTTCAATCATATGCACTCCTTAAGTATAGTACCCGAAATTCTTAACTACATTAAGACTTACCTATATTCAGGAGATGGACAACCCTGGGCCACACATAGTAAAACAGCACCCTCATCTTGTGATACTTGTACATGTGCTGTATGCTCAACAACACTAGGTGAAATAATACCACGATGAGCTGGAATATAATGAAGCATTATTATCAATAACTGAAACTATAAATTTGTATCATTATTAAAATAGTTTATGTACAAAATAGAGTTTGAAATCATTGCATTTATATCCCCAATTCAACGATTAGTCGAGAATGAAACTTTCAAGATTTTTAAATCTAAAATGCTTTGTAAGTGCAGTAAGTTAACTCTTATGAATAATTTTTCTTTTGCATGACAACTTAGCTTACTTGCAAACTTAAACACACCCTCACATAACAGTTATTTCTTAAACTTCCCCCCACTAATTTTGCATTTAAAACCCTTATATCTAATGATTTGAAAAATACATTTGCATAATGTATATTTCTCTACTAGCACGTACATAAATTTAAATGCATTTTATATGTATGTATGTTTTTTTTTTCTGACAAGCATTTTTATAAATTGATGTTGCAATAATATTAATAATAAAATACATTTTGAGATTTCTCAACTTACAATTTATTCTCAGTCTTGTGGGTGAACTAACAACAACTTGACGTGTTAATCGATGCATACTTCGACACCGAAACGATTGGGATTCATCACTTTCTTGTAGATTATGAATAAGTAATTCACCGGTGGGTAATAAATGAAATTTACCATCTGAAATTGAGAAGATTTAGGAAAAAAACAAACACACAAACATTATAAGAATATTTAAATTACATTTTTGATAATAAATAATATAAAAATATAATTGCAAAATTTAAATTTAAATATTTTATTTTAATAGTAGTAGGCTAGGTTGTATTAGTAGTTGAGGAATAAAACTATTTATGTATAAGCTTTAGTTAGTTGCAGTTGTATGTATGTGTGTACGTATATAACATTTAATGTATTGGTAAACACTTTGTTTATTTAGAACACAAACAGCCCAAAGGATAATGTTAATTATGTATGAATTCCAGTTTACTAAACTCATAAAATAAAGAAGACATCACAGAAACGATAACAACAAAAGTATGTACTTAGATTGTATAGAAAAAATCAAACAAATACACTATCAACTTCAACAAGGACTCAACTACCAAAATTATGTTCTAGAAAAATATGAAAATGCATATTCTATAAGATTGTTATATGTATTTAAAAAGATGGTCAATTATTAAAGTTTCAAAACTAATAATGAATAATATTTTTATTTATATTCTTAATCTTCTTCTAATCATTAGTCACTCTTGGTTTTACGATTAAACGGTTACTCCAGCAACCATGTGCTTTAAAACAAAATTAAAATTTACAACACAGTGTATTTCATTTAATAGAATACATTCTCATTTGCTAGAAAAATTTAGTGTATACTTAAAAAATATAACGTGAATTTCTCTAGTTGCATTGTATTTATGTAGCATTATATATTTAACTTTGTAGTTTTTTTCCCCTACACATTTTTCCTTTTCATCTCTTTCGTTTTTTTTATACAGTTCCTACATAATGTTCAAGTACGTCACTGGTAAAGGCATCATAACAAATTTGCACATACATACACATAGATATAAATACATACATACATATGTATGTAGAAGACTGAAGAGAAAAAAATCATAATGCCAGTACGTGTTCTTTTTACACGTATACAAGAACAACTACTACCAATGCAATGAACATACAAATTACTGTAAATGCATACCCGACAATTCGGGGTGGCGAACCCGAAGTGGCCAGTAGACCATACAATATAGTCCAATCTATAGTGAGGTCTATAGTCTAGTCTATAATCTAGTCTACAGTGAGGTCTATAGTATAGTCTATAGACTAGAAATAGTCTAGTATATAGTCTAGTCTATAGTCTAGTCTATAGTCTAGTCTATAGTCTAGTCTATAGTCTAGTCTATAGTCTAGTCTATAGTCTAGTCTATATATAGTCTATAGTCTAGTCTATAGTCTAGTCTAGTCTAGTCTATAGTCTAGTCTATAGTCTAGTCTATAGTCTAGTCTATAGTCTAGTCTATAGTATAGTCTAGTCTAGTCTATAGTCTAGTCTATAGTCTAGTCTATAGTCTAGTCTATAGTCTAGTCTATAGTCTAGTCTATAGTCTAGTCTATAGTCTAGTCTATAGTCTAGTCTATAGTCTAGTCTATGCTAGTCTATAGTCTAGTCTATAGTCTAGTCTATAGTCTAGTCTATAGTCTAGTCTATAGTCTAGTCTATAGTCTAGTCTATAGTCTAGTCTATAGTCTAGTCTATAGTCTAGTCTATAGTCTAGTCTATAGTCTAGTCTATAGTCTAGTCTATAGTCTAGTCTATAGTAGTCTATAGTCTAGTCTATAGTCTAGTCTATAGTCTAGTCTATAGTCTAGTCTATAGTCTAGTCTATAGTCTAGTCTATAGTCTAGTCTATAGTCTAGTCTATAGTCTAGTCTATAGTCTAGTCTATAGTCTAGTCTATAGTCTAGTCTATAGTCTAGTATAGTCTAGTCTATAGTCTAGTCTATAGTCTAGTCTATAGTCTAGTCTATAGTCTAGTCTATGTCTAGTCTATAGTCTAGTCTATAGTCTAGTCTATAGTCTAGTCTATAGTCTAGTCTATAGTCTAGTCTATAGTCTAGTCTATAGTCTAGTCTATAGTCTAGTCTATAGTCTAGTCTAGTTAGTCTATAGTCTAGTCTATAGTCTAGTAGTCATAGTCTAGCTATAGTCAGTCTATAGTCTAGTCTATAGTCTAGTCTATAGTCAGTCTATAGTCTAGTCTATAGTCTAGTCTATAGTCTAGTCTATAGTCTAGTCTATAGTCTAGTCTATAGTAGTCTATAGTCTAGTCTAGTCTAGTCTAGTCTAGTCTATAGTCTAGTCTATAGTCTAGTCTATAGTCTAGTCTATAGTCTAGTCTATAGTCTAGTCTATAGTCTAGTCTATAGTCTAGTCTATAGTCTAGTCTATAGTCTAGTCGATAGTCTAGTCTATAGTCTAGTCTATAGTCTAGTCTATAGTCTAGTCTATCTATAGTCCTAGTCTATAGTCTAGTCTATAGTCTAGTCTATAGTCTAGTCTATAGTCTAGCTCTATAGTCTAGTCTATAGTCTAGTCTATAGTCTAGTCTATAGTCTAGTCTATAGTCTAGTCTATAGTCTAGTCTATAGTCTAGTCTATAGTCTAGTCTATAGTCTAGTCTATAGTCTAGTCTATAGTCTAGTCTAGTAGTCTAGTCTAGTCTCTAGTCTAGTCATAGTCTAGTCCTATAGTCTAGTCTATAGTCTAGTCTATAGTCTAGTCATAGTCTAGTCTATAGTCTAGTCTATAGTCAGTCTATAGTCTAGTCTATAGTCCTAGTCTAGAGTCTAGTCCTATAGTCTAGTCTATAGTCTAGGTCTATAAGTCTTAGTCTATAGTATAGTCTATCGTCCTAGTCTATAGTCTAGTCTATAGTCTAGTCTATAGTCTAGTTCTATAGTCTAGTCTATAGTCTATAGTCTATAGTCTAGTCTATAGTCTAGTCTATAGTCTAGTCTATAGTCTAGTCTATAGTCTAGTCTAATGTCTAGTCTATAGTCTAGTCTATAGTCCTCGTCTTATGTACTAGTCTATAGTCTAAGTCTATAGTCCTAGTCTATAGTCTAGTCTATAGTCTAGTCTATAGTCTAGTCTATAGTCTAGTCTATAGTCTAGTCTAGTCTATAGTCCAGTCTATAGTCTAGTCTATAGTCTAGTCTATAGTCTAGTCTATAGTCTAGTCTATAGTCTAGTCTATAGTCTAGTCTATAGTCTAGTCTATAGTCTAGTCTATAGTCTAGTCTATAGTCTAGTCTATAGTCTAGTCTATAGTATAGTCTATAGTCTAGTCTATAGTCTAGTCTATAGTCTAGTCTATAGTCTAGTCTATAGTCTAGTCTATAGTCTAGTCTATAGTCTAGTCTATAGTCTAGTCTATAGTCTAGTCTATAGTCTAGTCTATAGTCTAGTCTATAGTCTAGTCTATAGTCTAGTCTATAGTCTAGTCTATAGTCTAGTCTATAGTCTAGTCTATAGTCTAGTCTATAGTCTATCTATATCTAGTCTATAGTCTAGTCTATAGTCTAGTCTATAGTCTAGTCTATAGTCTAGTCATGTCTAGTCTATAGTCTAGTCTATAGTCTAGTCTATAGTCTAGTCTATAGTCTAGTCTATAGTCTAGTCTATAGTCTAGTCTATAGTCTAGTCTATAGTCTAGTCTATAGTCTAGTCTATAGTCTAGTCTATAGTCTAGTCTATAGTCTAGTCTATAGTCTAGTCTATAGTCTAGTCTATAGTCTAGTCTATAGTCTAGTCTATAGTCTAGTCTATAGTCTAGTCTATAGTCTAGTCTATAGTCTAGTCTATAGTCTAGTCTATAGTCTAGTCTATAGTCTAGTCTATAGTCTAGTCTATAGTCTAGTCTATAGTCTAGTCTATAGTCTAGTCTATAGTCTAGTCTATAGTCTAGTCTATAGTCTAGTCTATAGTCTAGTCTATAGTCTAGTCTATAGTCTAGTCTATAGTCTAGTCTATAGTCTAGTCTATAGTCTAGTCTATAGTCTAGTCTATAGTCTAGTATAGTCTAGTCTATAGTCTAGTCTATAGTCTAGTCTATAGTCTAGTCTATAGTCTAGTCTATAGTCTAGTCTAGTCTAGTCTATAGTCTAGTCTATGTCTAGTCTATAGTCTAGTCTATAGTCTAGTCTATAGTCTAGTCTATAGTCTAGTCTATAGTCTAGTCTATAGTCTAGTCTATAGTCTAGTCTATAGTCTAGTCTATAGTCTAGTCTATAGTCTAGTCTATAGTCTAGTCTATAGTCTTCTAGTCTATAGTCTAGTCTATAGTCTAGTCTATAGTCTAGTCTATAGTCTAGTCTATAGTCTTAGTCTATAGTCTAGTCTATAGTCTAGTCTATAGTCTAGTCTATAGTCTAGTCTATGTATAGTCTATAGTCTAGTCTAGTCTAGTCTATAGTCTAGTCTATAGTCTAGTCTATAGTCTAGTCTATAGTCTAGTCTATAGTCTAGTCTATAGTCTAGTCTATAGTCTAGTCTATAGTCTAGTCTATAGTCTAGTCTATAGTATAGTCTATAGTCTAGTCTATAGTCTAGTCCATAGTCTAGACTAGACATCAGACTAGACTATAGACTAGACTATAGACTTGACTTTATACTATACCATAATCTAGTTAAGAATTTAAGATTATATTTCTGTTAGTTTGAGTCAACTAAGAATTTTGACCTTCAAAAATGTATTCTCCGAAATGGGTACATTGAATCTTTAAAATACTACCGAATTATTGCTGTAAGTGCTTACGTTTGTATGTATGAGAGAGTGAAAAATGAATGAATGAATAAATGAATGTATGTGTGAACAAGAATCTGTGAATACACTTACCGCCTTGTAGTGATGGATATATGTAGATAGCAGGTTCATGAACCCATGAGACCACTCGAACCAATTCCTTAACAAACGTTGGCACTACACAACGTAAAATGGCTGTGCAACCACGAGATGCAGATAAAACTTCTACATCAACTTTATAAGCTTGTGCAACGACTGCAAAAAAACACACGAAACAAAAACAAAATAAACGGTAAATATGTATGAAAAAAACGAATTGTATATAGAAATTATTATAAAAAAGTGGCTGTAAATATTATTGTATGTATGTGTCTTGGCTGGCAAATGAAAAAAAAACGTATTATAGAAAATTTAATTAGCAGACAACATAACAACAATTTAATGCCATTTATTTTTTCATTTTTGCAACTTTATTTTAATAATCAACCACATTTTTCTGTTTTTTTTTAATAAAATTATCTTTGAAATTACTTACCAGCTCTGACTTGCACATCTCGTGATACAATGCGGCCAACACCATTGCTGGCAACACAACGATAGATTGTGTTATGTACATCTTGATGATATGCAGCTGCAGGAAATGGCAAAAGTACCAAAGTACCATTGCGTAGCACACGACGAACACCATGAATTTCCGTTACAGCCGTGCCGTCTGCATGCACCCAGTCAATGGTCGGCTGAGGACTGCCCGAAGCTGAACAATCCAGCCAGCCGCCAGAGGAATTTGAAAATTCAACACGACCCGGCGGTTCCATAACAAAACCCGGACCGCGTAAATGTGCCTCATAGACTTCCGCCAACAAAGTATCTGCAACAATCAAAAAGAAAGAATATTAAATTTTCATTTGTGTATTGAGCATGCAAATGCATGTTTGTCTGTCTAGCTGTCTGCCGGTCTGTATGTTTGCAACAAATGTCTGTTGATTTCTTTGAATATGATAATTTTCTTTAGTTTTTTTTTTTTGCTGTATTTAGCTTCTGTTTGAGTACTTTCAAGTCTATTTATAAATGATGCAATGCATAAATCTTTTATTAAAAAAAAAAAAAAACATAAATGTGATTTTTTTCTGTTTTTCAAATTATTCCCTTTTTAACAAGAGAAAAACATGATTGCCAAAACGGAAACTAAAATGTAACCGCAAAAAAAAAAAAAACAAGAAAAAAACTGAAATAAAAAATCATAAATACACATGCTGGTTTCCTTTTAAAATGACGAATGTTTCATAAACGCTAAATAGATGGAATGTAAATTATACGGCAGCATAAGAGAGCCGCCTTAAAATTGTATTGAAGGAAAACATTATGTGAGAAAATTACTTTAAGTTCGAAAGTTGAGTGGTTAAATATTCGTATAACCACCTTCCAAATAGATTTTGTTGTTCTATTTGTAAGAAATTTAAACATCCGTACCTCTACCTATTGATGGTTCTCCATCAATAGATAGAGGGACTAAGGCACAGAATACCAGGATGTAAATGTTTGGTGTAACAAATTAAACGAATCGAAATAAAATTGATCATTATTTACACATATACACGGAATTTCCTTATCAGTTGTAGTTTGTTATTTTTAAACGCTTTCTGTGCGTATACTTTACATCAAGTGTAGTCACATACATATTTATCATACGCCACCGTTTACTATAAACTAGTTTTTATACCCTACACCACTATAGTGGGGAGGGTATTATACGTTTGTGCTGATGTTTGTAACACATAAAAATATTGGTCCTACACCCACCTTTAAGTATACCGATCGACTCAGAATCACATTTTGAGTCGATTAAGACATGTCCGTCCGTCTGTCCGGCTGGCTGGTTGGCTGGCTGTCCATGTAAACCTTGTGCGCAAGGTACAGGCCGCAATGTTCAAGATAATTAAATGAAATTTAGACCAAGCTTGTTTTTTGGCTGAAGGACGAAGCCTATTGAAAATGGTTGAAATCGGTCTATTATTTCACCTAGCCCCCATACAGCCGTACCTCCCGATTTGGGCTTTTTATGCCATAATTACGTCAAATATACTATTATCTCTCTAAAAATTGGCACAAATAAGTTTTATATAAGTATAAATGACACTGCAGATTTTCGTAATGATCGGCCCTTATTTGACCCTAACCCCCATACAAACCCCCCCTTCAAAAAATGTCTTAAACGTCTAAAATTGACTTGTAACCATTCGTATCGCAATGAAACTCAGCATAATTAACTATATTATTTAAAAATATATCCTTTTCCCAAATTAATGAGGATCGGCCCATGTTTGACCTATACTCCTATATAAAGCCTCATTTAGAAAATTTGTTTTTTTATCAATAAATTGCTTAAATACTTTGGAATTAACGTAAAATTCAACATAAAAGTTTCTTTGTGAAAAATAAAAATTTTTAAAATATACTCATGGTGTAGGGTATTATATGGTCGGCCATGCCCGACTATACATTCCTACTTGTTAAAACCAAATCTTTGGAGTGATTTGTTCTATCGCTTAAGTTTAAATTGTTTCTAGTATTAAAATTTAACATCAAGTCATAATTTCAAATTGACAACTTTTATATATTCTGTGATCGTGATGTCATAATATAATATTATTAATGTATCTCTCAAGTTTAGTTTAAATCGGTTGAAATCTAAATACTATTTTATTACGATTTCAAAAATGTTACAAAAACATGTAAATCCTCAAAATTCAAATCTCAAGTATTGGTAATCTGTGAGATATAATGAACTATTTTTGGAGATTTTCTAAAGTTTTTAAAATTTGCAATTGTTAAAGGTATGAAATTGGAGTTTTAAAATTGCCGACTGAAGGGCTTATATATAATTCTAGAGGCGGAGACGGTCAATATTCGTAACTTTTGTAAAATTACAGAAAATTATATTTGGGACACAGGCATATAGTCACGAGACCTAAAAGATCAAAATGTGGAAAATTGATGATACAACATTTTTATTTCCATTTTCGTGATTAACAAATTAACCAAATTATACTGGAATTAGAGAAAATTATTTGAAAAGATTTTTCTTCGTTGGCCTGTGTAGTTGTTTTCCTGAACGCATATTTTTTCATATTTGTTTTAATTTGGCGACGATTTAGAGCTATGAAGCTTGGGGGCGGGGGGGGGATATTGTCATATCTTTATTAGTAGTCAAACGTGCTAACAACTTAAGCAACAGTATTTTGTCTTTCCGCTGTTTCCCCCGGGGGCATGTGACCTTGAAGACTCTTCTCATCTTGGTGTTATTGCAAGCATGTGGAAGAGAGTACTTCTAGTTTTCCGGGACTATAAACTGGTGAATGATCAAATGTGTTCTCGGACTTTCAATGAAATGATTTGACAGGGAGTCGAACCACAGCACCAGATAATGTGGTACTATGAGTGGCTAGTTACCCGCAGGACTTTGTCTTGGAAGGTCAGTTGGTTGAAGTTCCTTCGGGATCCATGTAGTGGTTGTGGTTTAAAACCAAATTCGCCTCAATGCACGGTAGAATATAATTTTCGAGATAAGTTTCTGTTACCGCTCCTAGAAACTGGGAGGGTAAGGCTGTGGATTAATAAAATGTTGGATTTGAACTGATCGTAAAAAGATTAGGTAAGAGTTTGATGTTTGTTGTAATTCTCAGTTGTTTTTGAGATGTGATTGATGGTTATGAGATAGTTGTTTACGCTGAGTATGCCGTAATGTTTTCCTTTATGGTTCAGTGTGTTTAGAGTTTACTCTAAAAACACGCTCAACTTATTACAGTAGATCCTTGTGGGCACTAAAATAAGTCTTGTCAATTAAAAATGGGTGCATACTTCGGACCACCAATTAGATCCCTAGGTGCTGTTGCCGAAACAACAGAACCATTTGAGTAATGTGATTGTGTGACTTTAAGAGGTTAAGGAATGCACTGGGGTGAGTCTTTAGATGATGAGAATGTTCTAGGGAAATGAGCATTTCTCATAGCATCAGTAGGGTTTGGTTACGCCCCTTCTATTAGCTCTAAGAAACCTATTATTCCGCAACGGGGCTTCTATGGCAAAAGATTAAATAGCTTGAATACTTGAGCAAAGTGCTTGTACATGGACCGGCAGAACCATCTACAAAAAATCATCAGTAACATTTAGACTTATACAAAACTAAGTTGTTCCGATTTTGGTACAGATACAAGAATATTTAAAATAATTTGAGGAATACGGTTGTATGGGAGCTAGTTGAAATAATGAACCGATTTTAAACATTTTCAATACGCATCGTCCTTGGGTCAAAAGAAACGTCTGTGTAAAATTTTCTTCAAATTATTTTGAAAATTGCAACCTGTAGTTTGATTACAAGGTTTACAAAGACGGACAGATGGCGGACATAGCTAACTCGATTCAGAAAATTATTCTGAGCCGCTTGTAAACTTTAAGGTGGGTATTGAACCGATATTTCAATGGATTACATACATCAGCACAAACCCAATATACCCTCCCCAATAAAGTGGTGTAGGGTATAAAAACAAGCTTTTGATGGTGGCTATAAAAGCACCATTATAGCATAGTCGAATATAACACTCCTATTAGTGTAACATTTTTTTTGTAAACGCTGACACTCTCAAATAGGTTGATTATTATTTCAAGTCTGTTGCTCAATGTCAAACGAAAAGTGAGTAGAACAAACTGCAATGGCAAACTATTCGAAAGAATTTAAAATAATTTTTCATATAATGTATACGTATGAGTGATATGAAATATATTTAATATATTTCATACGTTTATGTGATCAAAGCAAAAAAATACAAAAGCACTCAAACTAAAAAAGAATTTAGCATTAAAAAACTGTTATACTCAAGCAAGCAAAACGTAAATTAATAAAGAATTGTAAAAATTTAAGTTTTAGCCAGAAACAGTCAGACGGACGGACTGATATCACTAAAGCTTACAAATCAGATAAAATTATGAATTCTATAATAAAAATATAAATTTATTGGAATTTTATAGAATCTTGTCTATAAATTATAATAAAATAAATTATTTGTATAAAAAAACATATTTCGAGCAAATATGTTTATAAAATGAATGCTCACTCCTTTCAACTCTTTTCAGTACATCTATAATATCCTTTTCTCATTTATTTTCATGGCATTTTGTTGTTATTCAAGATAAATTTTAATCCAGATTAAACTCTAGGGAATATATATTTTTATGATCTTAAACATTTCTCATCAAGATATTTTGTTGTTCTTCATTTCGTTCTGTTTCGTTTGTATCTATCCGTCTAGTATCTGTGTGTTTCATGTATTTATGTTCATTTTCATTGCATAAGTATGTATACATCATAATAGTGCTTGAATAGAGCCATCATTTTCGTTGTATTCGTCCTACAAAAAAAAAAAGGATAAAATTATAACTATGTCTGTCCGTCCGTCTGTCTTGCTTAACAATAACAACGATACAACAATGTTTTATAAATATGTTTTTATTTATATTTGTGTATGTGTGTGTGTTTGTATATATCCTATAATCGAGGCTAAAGACTGATGGAGGGATGAAAAAAAATATAAATAAATGGCATGGCATAGCACGGGCAACAAAAAACATTTACAACAACATCATCATCTGCAGCAGTAGCTGTAACTGTAGCGGTGGCACCAGCAACAAAAAAGAGTTGTTATCCAAAATAACAAAAAAAAAAAAAAATAATGAAACACAACAAAATATTTCTTTTTCTATCTTTCTGACTGCAACATATTTTTATGAAACAACAATTTTTATTTAAGCCCTCATGTTTATCATAAAACTGAATGTTTTTCCTAGATTTTTTACTTTTTCCGCTTTTATTTT